CAATAATTTGACGATCACAAAATAATATTCATGTTCTGTAGTGGCTGTCGGTTGTAAATATTACCACCGATCATAACATGAAGACAAATTCAAATTTTTAATTAATTGTATTGCGAGCACTACCAAAAAATATACCGATAAAATATACCTAAACAGACTGATGCACTTTTAATGTTATAAATTTATTAATTTTTAAAGGCATTTCTTTATATAAATATTATTATTGGTTGAGTTAGTAATAAAATAAACTAATATCGTTATCATTTATTATACGGTGAGTATAAGAAAGTAAGGATAGTTTATTTTACGATTTGCCAATGTCTGTGTGTTTATATATGTTGTATTTGACGATACCACGACAAGCTTGACATCTGATATTAAATTTTATAACTTAATACGTATCTTCCCTCTCTAGTACWTAATGGTGACAACATATCCTGGTCTCCAACTATAAAATATCTAGGAGTTAAAAAATTAACTTGGAACCCGCACATTTCTTCAAAACAACAAGGCTACCAAAGTCTTAAAATTCATCACGCTTTAATCAACTGTYAAACCGCCTTAGACTGGAATTGCTCCATGCATCTTTACAAGCAAATTCTACGACAATTAGTTCTCTATGCTGCCCCTATCTGAGGAACTGTGCCAAAACTCACATAAATAAGATTCAAGTCTTCCAATCCAAGATTTTACGAATAATTTCCGTATGGTTCATCAGAAACTTCATACCGACTTCAAACTTCCAACAATTAAAACCTACACACATAATCTCACAATAAACTTTTTTGGCCAACTAAACAACGCCAAAAGCGCAAAACATTTCAAACGATAAGCCTACCCTCCAGCATCTCAGCGTGGACGTCCTCATGATGCCTTTTCTCAACACTAATAATATCAATAAATAAAAATAAAAAAGGAAAATACTACACCTAGTTTAATTAATTATTCTTTCTTGTATCATTATTTATTTATTTATCGATGTAAATAACAGTAATTTGTTGTAAATATTGTAATTAATTTACATTTACCAATTATATATGTTATATTTTCTATAATATTATTATCAATAATTTTGATAACCCTGTATGTCAGATTTACTTTATAATAATAATAAAAAAAAAAAATACGTATCTAAGTTTTATTATTACGTATTCGAGTGTGTGGTGTACACAATATCGTGACATACGTGACAAATCGCCAGTGTGAGATCCTCAACTTTTTTTTTTACTTCGTTTCTGCTTAAAATTTCGAATTTTGCAATATAATTATATAGGTATGCATATAAGTACATCAAATACTGGTAGCCAGACCTTATTTTGTGTTCAAATGTTCAACTACGGTTATTTATTTTCAGGAGATCAACTTAAACATTTTTTAAATATTGTATACGTTAAGTTAAATACAAATGGTACTGCTGTGGGTGTAAGATAAATATATACAAAGTCTAATAAATTATTCGGAGCTGACTCATAGAAGAAATCTCTACGATCATTAATTGGTCACCTACAACAGTATTAAACTATATACTAGCATTTTAGGTTAGAATTGTACAGCCGAAGGTTTCCCGCCGTCGAGCCCAAGTAATTTATTCGAATTATTCTCAATTAATAATTATATGTTGTGTTTGTATATTTTTAGTTTATGAATTTGAATTTGTTAACTTACAACATTCTATTTGTCTTAACCGTAATGCTTATAATACAGTTGAAAAATTAAATTAAAAATATTTCATGTTGCATTGTGAAGATAAAATACACATATGAAACAATTTATCCATTTCATATTGTATAAAACGTTTAGATACACCACAGTAATATTATAATATTATAATATTCTGTGAAGAGATACACCAATACAAATATTATATGTTAAAATAGATCCAATTATTTTATTGTCAAGTCACTTTTTATTTTAATAACTAGGTATATATATAATATTATGTTCCAAAGAGCTGAAAGCGTATTCAATTAAAAACAGAAATTGTATGGACTGTAAAAAAAGATCGTCGAAATGCGTCATTACAATTAAAAAGTCAAAATAGTGTTATTTTCTAAAATTCAAAGTTGGTACTCAACTATTCAGCGCTAAAAATTCTTAATAATAAATCACATCAACTTTAGACTATTAAACGACCAAATAACATTATAAAGCTTCGATGGTCTAAATCTCGATATATTCTATATTCAAACAATGACAAAACGTTACCGACTTTTACCTTCTGTATCTTGGTCAAAGTGATGAATTRTTGTAGTTGACAAAACACAACCAGATAAATTGAGGACGATTACGGTTATCAATATATTATATATATTTTTTTATTTTTTATGTTCAAAGTTTAACTTTTCAAAATTTATTTAAATAGTGATGACCCTTTAAAACGCATAGGTAAAAAATATCTTTTAAATGTTGACGTTTTACTTACTAGATGTAATTGGCTATAAAATACCACATTCAGAGTGAATGATCATATCATTTTTTTTTCTATTGGAAAAAGTGTATAGACACAAAAATAAAAAATAAATCTATTTTACAATGACTGTAAAGTGTTAAGTGTGAGAAACAATTTAATAAATGATTTACTTAATTTTAATAACTATTAGAAATTCAACAAATTTATATGTACATAACAATGCATATGAATTTAGAATCAATATCTCCTTAAATTTTGCAACAATAAGGTAAATTTTATGAAGAACTCACGTACGGACAATTATTGCATGTTAACTAACTAACTTAAATAATAATGTTAATGTTTTGTTCGTTTAGTATATTATAATAACTATTATATAGAAGTTATTTACTTTTTTCTACACATTCGAAACTAATATTATTAGCTACGATCATTATTTAAAAAAGGTTGATTAAACTCATATCATTTTACTGTATTTTATACAATTTTAATAATTAGTTTTTTTTTTTTTTTATTAAAGAAGAAAAAAATATACAATCTGTATAACATAATACAATAAGTAATTTAGATAACATTTTTACCAGTCTGGACGGCTTGAGGGAAGGGAGAGTCCATTAAACACTACTTCCAATAATTAGTTAAAAAATAATAATTTAGTTTATAAATATACAAAGCTATGAAGGTTAACTAATAAAGACTTTTAATATATATGGTAAAGTGTTAGTGTCCAATACAGTTTTAAGGATTTAGATAAATAATTTTATTATTATAGAGGTAAAATCGATTTGTCAGTACATTTTTATATGCTTTTCAGAATATATTCAGATCATTAAGCTTTATATTAAACGAGATTTTTAATTTTAACATCCATTTTATAATAGTTAATAACGATTTGAGAATGAAAAATCAGTTCCCTCTAGTTCCAAAATTTTAACAGATATTTGTAAAATATTTTATTTTCAGATTTTATCTTAAAGTGATTTGAGTTATTTTCCAATTGGAAGTTTGAGAATTTACCATTGAGAATTGAAACTTGAATTTAAAAAAAAAGTAATTGTTGATAATAGAAAAAGTTTAGTCGGTCATGTTTTATCATGAATGAATTTTTTTTCAGAATTTATCTTATCAAGCCACGTTTTTAATTGGTATCATGAAGAAATTAAAACACCTCCCTAAAAAAAAAATCAAGAACAACTAAACCGCATTTTATACTGCGTAATGTGAATTATTCACTTTAGTAGTTTAAATCTAAAAATACATCCAAAATAAAAATTTATATTTTATTTATTAAATCATAGATTAATTCACATTTTTGAACAGAATGATACTTTTAACCTAGGTAAGTTTGCTTCTTTATTCGAAATCTATAAATTATATTAATGGCTTATTTCAGTATTCTTCATATTATAATAGCTCATATTTGATGATGCCACTATTTTTTTTTTTTTTTTATTACTTTAAAGCCTCAACAACTAAGGTTATTAGCTTACATATTTTAAAATATTACTTATATATACAGGTACAATTTACAATACATTTTACAATATTACAATAAAATTATTCTTGGTAGGTATGTGTAATTAAAGTAGGGGAATATCTAGGAAAACATATGAAATTATATGAGGTTGATGCCACTATTATATTATTATTATACACTTTCTTTTTCAGGCAAATTCCAAACAATTTTAAATCTAAAATAATTTATTAATGCATCATAATATTATTGTTGGAACACTGTTTGCTCTTGACTATTGCAGAATATTGGTGGGTTTTTTTAAGTTGGAATATAAATGAAAAACTTTTCAAGTTTAAAGTTTAAGATTGGTAATCGTTGCATTTTCATACATTATACAAAATAGTACTATTACAGAAAGAACTATGTATTTATTTAATATTTAATACTATACATTATTTTTCCGTTGTATCAACAGACTTAATCAAAAAGTATTTTTATCATATTTCATAAAAATAGACTTATATGATCAGATCAATTTAAGATATAAGAGATAAAAGTGTCCAAGAACTAGTAAAAATATTGATATACATTTTAATACAATTGTATTTTATTTTATATTGACCAATTTTAGTTTTTACTAGGATTATAGTATTATAATGTGTGTAYTTACTTATCTACCTATGTAAATATATAATTTAATTGGCGAATTAAAGCTTATATTATGTTACTAACAGTAATCGGATTTGTATTCTAAAAAGGGACTTGACGTGCATGTACATTATGTAGCACATTGATAAATAATGTAATAGTATTATAAGACAATGACATGCTTAATAGTTATATCTTAGCGCCAGCGCACCACAGTTATTGATGATCATCGATGCAAAGTGTGCGTCGATGCTTTTAAAACGTTTACTGGTACTTATCAAAATCCAAACTAAATTGAGCATCGTTAATTCTTTGTATACGCTCTATATAATGTTGAAATGAAGATGCAACATATTTTCCTTAAAATCGTAAAATCTTGGGCAGAATTCACACACGTCCTAATGTTTCCTCAGCATATTTTTAGGCATAACGTTCGTAGATAATCTGGGCAGTCAGTGCATGGCAGACTAGTCATACAATACTTACCGTAAACAATGCTTTTCGCCAGAAATTGTTTCACAGCCGAAGTCTTGGCACACTCACGTCTCTCTGGATCCGACAGAGCAGCCAGTGGCCAAACTGAGGCTACAGCGTCTGCGACTTCAGTCAGCTGCTTCTGGACGGAAGCCATTAGCACGCAGTCTAACTGTTGGTCGTCAGACGACCCGCTCATGACGCTGCGAATTGCATCCCTGAACGCCTCCATTCTCTTTAACAGACCAAAAAACGACTGAAAATTACCAGAAAATATAGAATCATTGAACGACGCGGACTGAAATCTACTGAAACATAGGTAAATAAAAATATCTTATATACTATACATAATATATATTTATACTCACAGACCGAACTTAGCTGTTTGATCGATATGGCAGTAAACAAGCGCCGTCAAGTTGACGACACTGAAATTAAACAATATCACGCAAAACGATCAATACTTTTAAACGGATATTCAATTGATTATTAAAATCATGATACTAGGAACACTAGCGAGTAAATATAACGAGTAAATAGTATATATATATTATTATACTATGCATAATATAGACGTACAACACATTTACCCATTCGTATATTATTTATTTACTAGCGGTCTTGCAATTGAAGCAATAATCGATTAAAGCCAATGGTTGGTTTCAGAACCAATACCTGCGTGTAAGTTTCAGTGGAGATTTCTATCACAAATTGAATCTTTGTCCATTCGGTCACCCACGTATGATGTGACATTCACGCACCATGATAAAAAAAAATTTAAATAAATAAAAAAGCTTAAGAAAAATTCATTACGTGATACACTAAAACTTTTTCAAAAATAAATCTACCCTATTCATAAATGTTCCATGGTAAATTGCTAGCGTAATTTTTTGTATAAATTCGTATTTACAAATTTTTCATAATATGTCATGTTACAAGAACAAACAGAGAAAACTATATCAACGTCACTTTAGATACAAATAAAAATAATATATAGGTTTCTGGTACTTATGAAAAACGAATAAATATTAAATGTCTAGTCAGTAGAAGGTATAATAATATATCTAATAAAAATTGTCTATTTACTATTGTTTAGAGTACAGAATAAAGTTTTCTACAAATATAATTCCTCAATAAAAATCCTTTAAAATGTAATAGAAAGATCCACATAATTTTTTGCATATCAATTAAAAAACATCGAAAATACATAGTAACAATATTTTCTTATGAGTGATTATGTAGTGACAGTCATTTAAATGTGTTTTTATTTCAACGTACATATTGTAGATCTGTAAAACTTAAAAATTGTAAAAACAGATTTGAATTTTTAGTCAAATCTAAATAAGATTAATTTTCCAACATTATTGATTTTATTCCCCTAAATCCTAAATAAATTGTACCAAAAAAAGATAACAAAAAAAAATAAATGTTTACATTTTTGGAGAATTAAGAATCGAAAATATTGAGAAATTTATCTCAAGTAAACTTAATGACAAATTCAAATCTGTTTTCAGAATTCTTATTGGTATACTAAATCGATTAAGTTTGAATTCCTACGTTATACGTAAATTATACAAAGACAGGAAATCATATTATTATCATCTAATTGCTTAAAGTTAGGGTTTTAATAGATTTGTAATCTCAAAAAAGAAAAATAATGTAGCATTCAAATGTTCATACAGTTTTTACTAAAAATATTTAAGAAAATTAAAGGTAAGTACATTAAATAATGCACTGTGTTTTAAATGTTTTAAAAGCATTTAAAGTTCAAGTGTTCACAAAATTACGAAAATATATAGTTGTGTAGTTAAAAAAATATAAAATAATCAATTTGTATAGTCTTGTAAATCATAATTTGGGAACCATATTATTATTTTAAGAAAATTTTGAAGAATCCACTAATCATCGTTATCGAGACTTATAATAAATCCAATCAACATGAAACGTAAAAGACAAAATAACGTTATAAAGCCTACACTGCTAAAATCTCGGAGGTTTCTGAAAAAATCGTATTAAGGATAATATTGAGTTTCTACGAAAGTTTATAACAGTTATAAGTATAATTTCAAGTTCAGAATATAAAAACCACCCACACACAATCAAAGTTAGTTATAGTTTTGAGATAAAGTTTTGCGACTTTTTATAGTTTTAGAGTAAACAAAATTTCGGAAAGATACGGTCTTAATAATTAGAACCGTATCCTAAACAAATATAAATACATCGACGACAATTCTAAACTTATGWTACGCCTAATTTACTCGACTATATATGTTTCAAAAACTGCAACAAAATATAAATTTCTTTAGGATACTTCCATCGTCGGAAAGAAAAAACTCGTGCCAAACAATTAATAGTAATTACCTCGTACCTAGAGAAAAACGCTCTCTTAAAGGTGTATTTAACTCATCAATAAATAGGTAGTAAACTAATAACTCATCATTATATTGTAATGTTTATGTTAAATTTCAAAATCAATGCATATCGCATGTGGTATATATGTATAATTCTATGCAAAGACGACCCATCAGCATATATTTCTAAGCATATTTTATCATATAAAATTAGTAATAATATTGCTATCAAAGTTAATATTATTTATATTATTGTTGATAATTAGTGTGATAATTATATCGTATGATAGGAGTTATATGGTATGAATATTATGCAATTGTTTAATAGTGAAAATGAATCGAAATATTTTGGAAAATCGCATCACATACTATTATAATTAAAATATTGGTAAAGGTATATAACTTTACTTATATATACCTTTTATATATATATAAGGTTCCAACAAAATATGTTTATTATGAATTACAACTAAATAACAAAAATCATTGTTCTTCGTTTAAATGTAGAATTTAATCAATATTTTCACTTAAATTCGGTACYTACTTATGTATAAAAACAAAATTGTTATCATATTTTTAGAGTTTTGGGTATCAGTAAGAACTACTTATGGGAAGCTTGTATTAAATATTATCTATAGCTTTAGCTTTAGCTACAATTGAATGTTTTATAAATGTATTACAACAAAAGAATTTATTTTTTGACAAGTTTGAATTTCAAACAGTTATATAAAAATCGTATGCATGCATTTTTAGTATTTTTAAATTGCTTTAAAAATAACTTATGTGAGATCTCACATAYATTTTAAGTATTTTGACCGAGCTTATACATCTTTATAAAAATTGAAAAAATAATTAGAACGTTTCAAATGGCAATAAATAAATAGCTTGAATTCTTGGATATTTTTAACATGCCATAGAATGCATATAGAAAATTACAGTTTAAGTGAATTATTTCTACGATTAATAATCTTTGAATTACCTACCATTTTTTAATACTAAAATTGTTTAGTGAGAAATCGTTATTTCACGTAATTAATTAATAAAGCTATAAATATACTGGACATTTTTACTGTTGACCCCCCCCCTCCTACACACACACACACACACACACACACACAAATACTAACTAGTGTTACTTCTCTGCCAGAAACGTAATTGAAGTTGAAGATTGATGCATTTTACAGTTCCAAAATGTGGTTTAAATTTAAAATACAAAAAACTCACAAATTATTGTAAAAGTATTACATTTATTACTCCACGTAGAATCTACAAAAAACATATACAAGATACATCATATTATGATAATATAATATGTATGCAATTTACTTCAATGACTTCTACCTCATTTATTGTTTTAGAGTTTAGAAGAATATACATATTTTATTACAGCCCAGTGGTATGACATAAATTAAGTAGATTCTAAATAATTAACCGACAAAAGTATGTAATATTGAATACAATTTAAAAAATTGGTTTTGAAAATCAAACTTAAAATATTAACACCGATGGTGGTTGTTAAACAATTTTAAATTTACAAGCAAGCTATAATAACTAAAAAGTAAAAACTATTGAGAATAGACTCTACGTTTTACGATACTTTGTTCAATGATAGATTATAATCAATAATACGAATAATCTTGTAAACAAGATCTCGATATAATTTTAGACATGAAGTATTCTACATTGATTGAGTCTTATATTATGATTGTATAGATTGTATAAATTGTAATTTGTGGTGTATGTTGTGCTTATTCTGAATATTCTCAATTAGATATTTAAGCCTAATAGGTTTAGTAATTTATTGATCATGTAGGCGAAGTGAAACTAATTTATTTGATTATAGTAACAATATGTGATCAAGCTAATGTAGATTTAAGCTGCCTTTGTATAATTGAACGTGTTTGTTAAATGAGGCTCAATTCTGTTTTGAAAAAGTGTATATAATTATCTACTAAACAAAATTATTATAGGTATAACATTTTTAAAAGCTAACTTTGAGCTCTTTTTTACAACACCATCCAATTACACTTAATTAAATTAAAATTATTTTACGCATAAATAATTAATTGTATGATATGTATAACATTTAAATCTTTACGTAACAAAATTGACTACAAATAAAAAGTGATTAAATGATAATAATTTTATAGTATGGGTAAAATGATATCTTGTTTATCTGTATGTATGGCCGTATGGGCACCACTGATAATATTATTGAAAATATAAGATTCTGTTTAGAACATAAATCACTGTAGATATTAATCTTTTTTTCTAGCAACAGAAATGTACCTATAACATAATTTTTATTGTGTGCTGCAGAATAAGCATGGCGTCGTATTAAGCATCAGTCAGGTGTCGTTTTAAGGTTTTAACAGAACAGAAACATTGAATGTTATCAATCAATGTCGTGTATCAGTTCCTGGTATGTTTGTGATCCTGGTTCAATGTGCTCTAATTGTAAATACTTGTTTTCTGTTTATTTCATAATAAGTCAATCACTTCTCTACTTACGGGGATAGCTGTATATTGATTAAGTTGCACCATTTTTTTTTCATTTCAATATGACATAATATTTTTAAGTTTTAGAGTAGACTTTAATTAAAAATATAACAAAATCGCTCATGGGCTTTTAATAAATATAATACTGTGTACCATATGGAATAAAAACTGAAAGGTAATGTTGATCACTAATTAACATTTAGCATTTAAAAAAGTAAACTATATGTATACCGAAGCCAAGTTCTTCTCTGAAAATGTTTTTTTTTCCTTTTTTTTTCTTCAATGGTTTGTAAAATTATAAGAACAAATACATTTCAAAACGACCAAAGCTTTTAAGTTAAAACCATTCAACTGGTCTTTTAATTAGCTCTGTATTTTAATATAATATTAGAGCAGTAGACTTAAAAATATTATGAATTTGGTACCATCGACTGAAATCATTACATTCTTTTCACG